TTACAAACCAAAGGTTTATGAGCTGAATCCAGTCCACCCATCTGCTTTGGTAGTGTTTAAAAAAAAAATAGTTGAACCACACTTTAAAATAAGGAAATTTTACATAAAATTTTGCATATCTAGCTTTCCTCTGAAAAATCAGAGGTCTAGCAACAGTAGGCAACAACTGGTTGAAGCTGAGGATCACTCCCTGGTTTAGAAAAGACATACCTTCTCCGGCTTGCCTAGTTTCTACATTGCCCCAGACACAGAGGCCTGGCCTTGCTTTGTTCATTGACATATTTGCTGGATCTGTGACACCCAAAATGTACTCGAAAGAGAAGCTTAAAGATGGGCCTTGGCTACGTAGCTCAGTTGGTTAGAGCATTGCCTCAATATGCCAAGGCTGTGGGTTCAACCCCCAGTCAGGGCACATACAACAAGCAACCAATGAATGCATAAACAAGTGAAACAACCAACTGATGTCTCTCTCAAGAATCAATTAAAAAAATGAATTTTTTAAAAAAGAGAGCACTGTAAGTATCAGTCTAGTCTACCATGTCTTTTTTTTTTTTTTTCTTTAAGAGGGAAAGAAACATTGATGAGTGAAAGAAACACCAATTTGGCTCCCTTCCTTACACATCCTGACTGGGAATTGAACCGGAAACCTTTAGGTTTGCAGGACAATGCCCAACCAACTGAACCACAGAGGCTGGCCAGGGCACAGTCTGCTGTGAATTAATGGTGTGCTATCGATGTGGTGGTTTAAAACACAATAAATCTTCACCATGCAAGCCTGTTCCACGTGTCACAACGTCTTTTACATCCTGGCCTCTCCTTTAAAATTCCAGGAACACCCCCAAGTAGTGCCTAGGGAGACATCAGTATCTCCATGCTGACAACCACTATTAGCATGCTAAGTTTGGTAAGGTGAGCATTTCCCAGGTTTGAAGAACAGTTAGCCTTGTCTTGAGAGGACTTTTAAGATTAAAAAATAAAGAAATCATTCACTTTTCTGATTGGTCTGGTCCAAATAATAACTGTTGAACAAAGAGATGTATGTATACTAGTATAAACCTCTGAAAACTTTCATCCATTTTCTTGCTGTTTACAGGGTTTTAAAAAAAAACTAATCAGTTTTTAAAATATTTTATTTATTTATTTATTTATTTATTTACTTTTAGAGAGAGGGGAAGGAAAAAGACAGGGAAAGAAACATTAATGTGTGGTTGCCTCTTGCATGTTATCTAGCAGGAACCTGACCCGCAACCCAGGCATGTGCCCTGACTGGGAATCGAACCAGCAACCTTTGGTTCGCAGGTCGATACTCAATCCACTGAGCCATACCAGTCAGGGCTTCTTTTTGCAAATTTTGATTTTTAGAACATATTTATTGAGTCATATCAATGTACCAGGCACTGTGCTACATGCTTTATCTCATTTAATACTTACTATCATCCCATAGGAGAGGTAATGTCATCCATATTTTACAGATGAGGAAGTGTGAGGCTCAGAGAGGGTAAATAATTTGCCTGTGGGTCACACAGTTAAGCAGCAAAAAGCTAGGATACAAACTGGAAGTCTATGCTTTAACCTTTATTCTAAGACTCTGATGATGTCATAACTCTTAAAGACATTTTAAAGTTTACCCCCCAAACTGCTTTAAAACAGAAGAATTTTTGTACCAGAATGTGAATTCTTCATGGTAAACAGCAGTAAGAAATGGCTGATATTGGAGCATAACAAATAATCTTTTATTAGCAGAAGTACGGGTTCTAATTTCAGAATTTTTTCGTGTATACACACACACACACACACACATGCGTGCTACCAAATCACAAGGGAGAAAGAATGTACAAGTTATTACCATATTTTGCTATGTATAATGTGTATTTTTTTTGCCCAAATTTTTGAGGGAAAAATAAGTATGAAATTATACATAGGCATAATGATTACAACCATGGGTATAATAATGGGCATAATAACCCTGTGCATAATGTGCACAAAAACATGGGTATGCATTATACACAGCAAAATACAGTATTTCCCCTAAATGAGCCCTTCAAAAAATGTCTAAAACAATTGTCCTACAGGATTTTCATTCCAGTGGAAACCATTTTGAAATAGTGACATATTTGCTGTATCTATTTCATACTCTGTTATATTCTCAAGAGATGTACTGTAGATCAAAATAACATTCACATTTAATAAATCATCAAAAGCATTATCAAGTTAAAAATAATCCTCAGAAACAAACAAGCACATTCAGATTAAATTTACAGTTAATGCTTGCCCTGGCTGGTGTAGCTCAGTGGACTGAGGGCTGGCCTGAGAACCAAAAGGTCTCTGGTTTGATTCCCAGTCAGGGCATGTGCCTGGGTTGTGGGCCAGGTCCCCAGTTGTGGGCATGCAAGGGGCAACCACATATTGATGTTTCTCTCCCTCTCTTTCTCCTTCCCTTCCCCAATCTCTCTAAAAAAATAACTAAATAAAATCTTTTAAAAAATAAGAAAAGAATTCTTAAAAAAAAAAAATGCTCCTCCCCACAAGTGAATATCTATTTGCCAGCTGCTACCCATACAGGACTTACATTGCCACTCCCTGCCTTGCCCTACCAACTTTCCCCAAGGACAAAAATAAAGTTCAATGACCTTACATAATGGTATATGAACAAAGCAAATGAGAAGGCCAGAATTGTCTTTCTTCCATTACCGTTCATCCCCTCTGTACCGTCTTCTACCTCTCCCCACTCCTTCCCTCCCACCTCGATTCTTATTTATTAGAAATGTTTTGTTCAAAAAAGAAAAAAGAAATATTTTGTTTAATTAAAATGCTGACTTGGTATTTTCAGGAAAATGGTATATAGGCTAGAGAAATCAACGATTGCCTTTATAAAGTGACTTTTAAAGTAGCTCAAAAACAGCCCTGGCTGGTGTGGCTCAGTTGGTTGGGCATTGTCCCACAAGTTGAAAGGTCACAGGTTCAATTCCCTGTCAGGGCACATGCCTGGGTTGTAGGTTCAGTCCCTGGTTGGGATACATGCAGGAGGCAACCAATCAATGTTTCTCTCCCCCCTTTTCTCCCCCCTTCTCTCTCTAGAATCAATAAAAGAAAAAAAAATCTCAAAAACATTCTGGAAAGGGCAGAACTTCTAGAGACAGTAAGAAGATCAATAGTTGCTAGAGGGTTGTGAGGAGGAAGGAAGGGTTCATAGGTGAAGCATAGGAGAACTTGTAGGGCAGTGAAATTATTTTGTATTATAATAGTAGATATATAACATTATGCACTTCTCAAAACCCATAGAACTTTGTAATACAAAGAGTGAATCTTAAAGTATGACAATTAAAAAAAACTTTTAGGAGGTCAGGGGATCTCAGGAAGAAATGGACACTGTATGACAGAGTCTAAGTGAATCACAAATGTATGAGACAGCATCACCTCAGGGGATAGAGGAAAAGGTGCTCAGGGGATAGAGGAAAAGGTGCTGATCTAAATAACTTGGAAATGAGTGGACTCTTTAAGACCAAAGGCAAAAGGAACTATACATAAGAACTGTACTTTAGCTGATGAAGTTGTTTCCTGTGGGAGTACAGGCTAAGAAAAGTTCAAATAGTTACACATGGGAGTATTAGGTTAATAAAACTGATATACATGTATAGATGTATACTCGGATTGAACAATTAAGTAAGTGATGGTGAATGGTGGGAGCCATGGTTCTCACTGTTGGGAGTGAGAGGTAATAGACAAGCAAGGGAAGCAGACTAGAATGACCCATGTGGGAATGAACCAGAGTTGGGAGACTTCATTATGAACTCATGTTTAGCAGATAGAGATATATAACATAGATTTATAAATGGATACACAGGAACATTTATAGATATGCATAAATACACAGATTGTATATACATAAGACTTCAGTTATGAGGGTTGAGAAATAGCAACACTACAGTAGCAAAGCACACACCTAGCACCCAGATCTTGATTTCCAAAAGCATTCTGTAGTAAAAGAAACCAGGGCTTTGTGGAGACACTGCTTACTCTAGAACTGGAACAGGGGATATACAGGATGGGCCTGGAGTGTCTTATAGTGCAAGTAAAATGCTACAAACAAACAAAAAAAACCCCTATGACAATGGGGACATGTTAAGGCGACTTAGGAGCCAACCAAAAGTGCTCCCAGTAGCCAAAGCTGGACAAATTTGAGCAACAAAATAATGTGGTATTGGATTATGACCTAAAGTATAAAATAAATATCCATAAGCCTATACTGATATAAAGAAATGACTGAATAATCACACAAATAAATAAATGGGGGAGAAGAGACAATCTCCCATGTAGAATTTCCAACACCCTCAAGGGGATAAGCATAACTTTTCACCCCTTAAGTGTGGACAATACATAGTGACTTCTTTCCAAACAGCACAGTATGGAAAAGAGTTTTTAAAAAAAAAAACAACTAACTTTACAGCAGAGAAACCTAATAAATACCTTCTCAGCCAAGTGAGCAAAATCAACATTAACAGTGATAAATCACGTTGAGAGTTTGTACTCCTGATAGGATGTGCTGAGAATGACAGTTCACCTCTGTGGTCTTCCTCGCCAAACCCCTAAGCCCAGTCTAATCATGAGAAAAAACGTCAGACAAATCTCAATTGAGGGGCAGTCTACAAAATACCTGATCAGTTCTCCTCAAAACTCACAAAGCCATCAAAACAAGAAAAGTCTGAGAAACCGTCACAGCCAAGAGGAGCCTAAGGAGATACGATGACTAAATGTAATATACGGTGGGCTTCTGAGACAGAAACACACCTTGGCTAAAAACTAAGCCAATCTGAATTAACTCAAGTTGAACTTTAGTTAATAACAATGTTTCAATATTAGTTAATTAATTTTAACGAATGTACCATGCTAATGTAATAACAGAAGAAACTGGGTGCAGGGTATATGTATTCTCAATTTTTCCATAAAATTAAACTGCTCCAAAAAATAAAATCTATGTTAAAAAAATGTTTTTTAATTACCTCAGAGCCCTGGCACAGCGGTCCTATTCACATCTCCAGCTCTGAAAGCACCTTCTTTTGAGTAGTCTGGGAGTCTGACAAAATGAGATAGTTATGTTTTTGCTAACTTCCAAACTTAGTCCTGAAGAATGACAAAAACGCAGAGACTTCTAGTGCCTTCAAGTTAACAGGAGACAGAAGAACCAGTTTTAGGGCAGGTAGTTCTTTCCCAAGTATCGTTGCAAGCTGAACTTCTTTTCCTTTAGGTCACAAATGCCTTCTACAGTAATTACATTCTACATCATCCCACAGAAGAGAGCAGCAGTTCAAAGACAAAAAGATAGTCCACCACTCATTTCTTAAGGCTTTTTTGCAGCATGCCTGGTGGTGACTTATCCTTCTAAGCTACCCCACCCCTCAACCCGCCTGCCACCGCCCCATTCTTCTTGGAGAAGAAAGAATGAGCCTTGGGCCCATCAAGCACGTGTAAAATTGTCGATTGCATAGCCAAAATAGCATATAACTTTTCCAAAAATGCTGACTATTATATAACCCATTTCTGTTCCATGAAGAAATTTATATATAGTATAATAGTAGCTTTATTGGCTTCTTTTGACAAATGAGTATTCTCTCTCCCCATCATTTAGAAGCTATTTTTATCCCCCGTAAACCTAGTAATTCAAATGTTAACTTTATCATTTTAGGGCAAATATTGGCTTATATCAGAGCCATCATGCACGTAAGTTTCTAATTAATCTCCTGACTCAACCTCATTTTATAACCATAGTAGAGCTAAAATAACATATCTTGTTTATATTGTATAATTTTGGCACTTTACCAGACTTTTTATCTTAATTTCTGTTACTTTATCTTAAATATTACCCCAAAAATGAGGTTCAAGTATGAGCAAGAAGGACTCTGCACCTACATGAATGCTGTCTTCTACCATGTGTTGTTGCTTTTTCCAATCTCCTGACACATGACAATGCAAAATCCACCCCCATTCAAGTTAACCTTCTCCCATCAACTTCAATCAACACAGCTTTCTACCCCTCCTAAATGCCTATTAAAAGTCATTGTGTGTTATTATCACTTGAAATAATGTTTATTAATTTTTATTCTTCTCTAGGCTTTATCACTATAAATCTTGAGAAGGAAAACCAAACATGCTCATTCACCTATAGTGCCTTGTGCACACTAAATACTTAGTATAAATGACAAAATGTATGGCTTTTAATAACTGAAAGAGTCACTTGCTCTGGCTAAGATGTTCTGAGGTCTTTGTTAGGTCAATTCTTAAATGACATTATTTAAAAAGAAAGACATGCCCTGGCTGGTGTGGCTCAGTGGATCGAGTGCCAGCCTGTGAACCAAAGGGTCATCGGCTCAATTCCCAGTCAGGGCACACGCCTGGGTTGCGGGCCAGGTCCCCAGTGGGGGGACATGTGAGAAGCAACCACACATTGATGTTTCTCTCTCCCTCTCTTTCTCCCTCCCTTCCCCTCTCTCTAAAAATAAATAAAATCTTTAAAAATAAAAAAAGACGACCTATTGATAACAGATGCCAAAGGAAGATCATCTGCACACTTGATTATTTAGAGATTACTTAGGAACAGTGTTTTTCTTTCTTCCTTTTTTTAAAAATTTTATTTTAATCATTGTTCAAGTACAGTTTTCTGTCCTTTACTCCAATCCCAGTCCATGGAACAGTGTTTTTCAAATGGTGGGTTGTGACCACTTAGTAAATTATGTAATAAATGTATAGGGTGATGACAAGCATTTAAGAAAAAAAAAAAAAGAAACAATAGAAAATATTAGAGGGCTTCACACGTAGTAATGGTAAATACTGAATCGACTTGTCTGAGGGGTGTGTGTATTATGTAGATCATTATTAACATGTATTTCTTACTATGGGTTGCTTTGAGAAATGCTAACTTAGATATGGTGAGGTATTCTAGGTTATGTAAGAAAAATATTTAGCACCTTTTCTTTTTACTTTTATCTGAATAAATGGCGGTTTTCAAATGAACAAAATGAAGTTATTTGAGAAACTTCTGGATATGAAAGTTGAAAACAACTCTTTGTTATACATTTTTATGTGACTTTTTCTCAAAGTCAGCCTCGATGGGTTTTGTGCAGCGCCCTCACATGCTATTGGAGGCACTCATCTTAAAAGATTTTTTTAAATGAGTTATCAGACTCATTAACCTAGAACTTCGAGATCACAAACTGGGAATTTCCTACTGTAAGGGTTTGAAAGATTTACAAAAATGCCATTAATAATAAATTATTTAACAATATTGAGCCTGACAATACTTCTGGATCCCTGTTCATTCAGTTAATAAAATTTGAGTACTCTGCTTGGAGACACAGAAGACTCATGCTATCAAAGTGAGAGAGACACACCGATAGTTATAACAGAGTGGGGTTAAGTCCTATAATTTGTCAGAAAAAAAAAAAACAACAAAAACAATTAATGTAGGACAATGAAAAGGAGCACCACGGAAAGCTTCATGGAAAAGATGACATTCAAGCTGGGGTGCAAAGAAAAGTAGAATTGAAAAACTAAAAATAATTTTAAAAAGCCAGGAAGATGCTAAATGTCCTATAGTGCACAAGACATCCCCTGACAACAAAGAACTATCTGGCTCAAAGGTCAAAAGCGCCCAGGCTAAGAAACCTTGAACCACAATCCTGTTTTCACAAGAAGGTAACTGAAGGCTAAGAGGGATTTAGAAACTTGCTTAAAAGTCAAGATTATAAAATAGGCCTCATAACATCTTCCTCAGTGTTTAAGTCACAACACACACCCACGTATGTTATTATACTAGGAAACAGCTGTTAAAAAGAGTGGGAATACCTTCATAAGGTGGCAAAACAAGCTATCTAAAAATCAAAGCTGATATTGATAATAGCCTTTCTTGATACAGATCTGCCAATGGCTCAAAGCAAGAATTACAATATATCTTAAAAATTATACCCTGATGTGTTCATAATACTAGATCTATCATCTATACAACTCAGTTTCTGAATATGTATCTAAGAATAATAATAATTACCAAAAACATAGGAAGTTGGAAGATCAGCTTATGCACGCACACCCAGTTACTCCTTAGTCCAAGTCTTTCCCGCTCCACGCGCTCCAACCACTGGGGTCTGGGACCTAGGTAGGATTGATTAGCCCCCTTTCTTCAGTTACCCTTCCATTTGCTGGTGAACTTTCTAATAACAAATGAATTGTACAAAAAACTTGCTTAGGGTCCTGATTTAGGGCCTAAATCTAAACACATGAAATACCCTGAACATCTTTTCCTTGCTCTTTAAGTGCACAAAAAAGATGGAAGAAGGGGTGATATTAACATGGATTAGTTTTCAAAGTTTTTGCTCTAATACATTACAGGAATGCGCAGACGCAGATATACACTCCTTACCTCCGATTTGTCAACTGGTAAAATTTCAACTATGATACCTTGTCTACTTTGCCATGCAGTAAATCACAATAAAAACCTTCAAGAAAAGGCTGAAGACACTATCCTAAAAACAATAAAGGACCAAAAGAGAAAGATTTAAACAGTGAAAAGTTTTAAAAAACAGTATAAGCAAGTGACACAGTATACAAATAAAAGGTCTAAAGAATGCAGCCACTGTGTATATCTATCTATCTCTGCTACTGGAAATTTCAGTGAATGAATTTTATGTTGCTAGATACTAACAGAAAGTTTATCTGAGTGCCCGAACCACCCTGCTCCCCTTCCCAGGCAGTCAGTCACCTGTAGTACCTAAGTCAGAGCTACCAACGGCAGAGGGGCCAGCTAAAGCTTTCCTAAGGTTTCGGCTTCAGAGAAAGCTAGCAAGAGGAACTTTAGTTGCATCCCTGGCAAACCATTAGGGGTCCCCACAGCTCCCCATGATATACTAGTTATTAAATTTTTTAAAAATTCTCATCTGAGGACATGCTTATTGATTTGAGAGAGAAAGGAAGAGAAACATCGATCAACTGCCTCTAGCACATGCCCTGACTGGGAATTGAACCCATGACCCTTCAGTTTATGTGACAGTGCTCCAACCAACTGAGCCACACGGGCCAGGGCTAGTTATAATGGGGCCCTGGCTGGTATGGCTCAGTGGATTGGGTGCCAGCCTGCAAACCAAAGCGTCGCCAGTTTGATTCCCAGTCAGGGCTATGCCCAAATTGCAGGCCAGGTCCCCAGTAGGGGGCACGACAGAGGCAACCACACACTGGTGCTTCTCTCCAAAAATAAATTTTTAAAAAACTTTTAAAAAATTGTAATGGCTTTGATTACAAAACTGTGCTGAAGCCCTTAAAAGGCTGGATTTCAGAGAGGTGAGCCAAGCAATCCAGAAGAAACTAGAGCATAGGTGGCAAACAGAAGGCCCGCGGGCTGAACCCTGCCCTCCACCTTGTTTTATCCGGCCCAGCACCTTGTTTCTACCCGGTGGCACTGCGGAGCTCTCGCTTCACTGTTAAGGAGCAGTTACATGTATACAGTCCTAAAGTTACACTTGGCCCTTTGAAGGCAACCGTGAGGCTGACGTGGCCCCCAGTGAAAATGAGTTGGACACCCCTGAACTAAAGGTTTTAAACTGTGTCTGACAGCCTGATAGGCAAAGAGGAACAAAAGGAAAATCCACTTCCCCCACTTTCAGGTTAGGAACCCGAAGGGCTGCACCTTAGGAACAGGAGTGAACCAGAAATTAGTCGGGCCATACACTGAATGCAACTTGGCCTTGAGTCATTTGGTTGACACATAAAAATCTCAAAATAAATTTTTTAAAAATTTGAAATTTTATTTATTTTTTGAGAGAGGGGAGGGAGGAAAAACAAGAGGGAGGGAGACAAACATCAGTTGGTTGCCTCCTGCATACCCCCAACTGCGGACCCTGCCCAAAACCCAGGCATGTGCCCTGACTGGGACTTGAACCAGTGACCTTTGGGTTCAAAGGCCAGTGCTCAATCTACTGAGCCACACCAACCAGGGCTAAATAAATAAAATCTTAGGAAAAAATAAGACTCACAGGCATTCTAAATATTGAATTATCAAACAGATTTCAAATTATTCAAAGAGGTGAAAAC